CAAATCCTGTCAGCCACCCCTAAGGGGCTGAAAGGGGGTATCGAAGAAAACAGGAAAGGCCCAAAAAGTAGGAAAAAATATTTTTTTTATGATCTCCTAAGGGGTAACTTGCGAAAGTAGAGCCCTTCGCCTTCGGACGAAAATTTCGTCCGTTTTGCTCTATCTCTCACCGTTTGGGCGCTAGAGTGAGTTTCTCTCACAAAAGTGGCCCAAAAATAAATTTAGTAATTTTCGAAAATATTGGATGGTCTCCTAAGAGGTAACTCGTCAAAGTAGAGCCCTATGGGCGAAAATTTCGTCCGTTTTGCTCTATCTCTAACCGTTTAGGCACTGGAGGGTCTTTTTAGACGAAAATAAGCTAAAAATTGCCATAGTGCACAATAAGATGTAGAAGAAGGCCTAAAAACCGCAAAATAGAAAGGAATCTTTCCCCCACCCCCGAAAAACGTTTTCTAAGCAGAAGGGTGGGTTGTAGTCGCGGTGCTTCACCGTTACATCCCTTTCTCGAGTCTTTGGGGCAAACTCAAAGAAGACAGGTTTAAGCGGGCCGAAGGCCCGCTACATCATTCGGTCATGTTCTACAGCAAATCGCGCGACAGAAATGGTCGGGCCGCAGGCCCGACCATCGCCGCCGGCAGGCCAAGCAGGCCCGGCCCCTGCCGAACGGAGTTGCCGGCGGAGCGAAGCGGAGCTGGCAACTTCGTTTGGCGGAAGGGCGGGCCTGCTTGTTGTTTCTCTGTTCGCGTCCGTGAGCCACCTATTCCGGAGGGCAAGGGCAACCACACGAGCGCACTGGGAGAAGGTCTTGTCCTTTTCAGTATAGAGGTACAACATTCGCATTACATCACGACCCGAAGGCAAACTTGGCCCAGCTGAGGGTAAAGGGGGCAAGCACGGGACACGGGGGCCGCCAAACACTTCGATAAATAAGTCCGCCATCACAAATTAAAAGTGCAATCACTTTGGAAACCGCCAGACAGACAGCGAAAACAATGGACCAGTATCACAAACACAGCGGTGTTTATTAGGCCACTGCCGCCGCTCTCTCAGCTGGGCTGTCACCTGTCATCGGCCGGCCGGCGCCGGCCGGCCGCCCAGCACATGCGAGCGCGCGCGCGCGCGCGCGCAAGCCGAGATGTGGCTGCAGTGCGGCGAGTGGAAGGGTCACGCTGCGGCGACCGCACTATACAGCGTCCCGCCCAGCCGGCGCCATTGTTTGGCGCGCTCCGCTCAAACGCGCCGCCCGCCACTCTGGCACGTCTGCTCGCGTTTTCGGGGTGATGCAGGAAAACGTTAACAACTCGGCATGGTGGGTTCGATAGGCCTATGGCCCCGCTACATTTCCGCGCAATCGGTAATCGCCCCCGATGAACGGTACTCGTACCCGAGCGACATAACCCAAAACCGGGTATTTAGGCCCTGTGTCAGGAGGGGGGAGGGGGGCGACACCATGTCCGATGGTGAGTACATACCCTAGGTAGTCACCACACACCAGGTCGTCGTCGCCGGCCGCGCGGCCCGCGCCCGGCCGCCTCGAGAACATGGTACCCGTCAAGCGCGCGAAAAAGGACAAAAAACTTTGGCAACGATCCGCCTATGGTTCCGCTTGTCGCACAGGGGTCTTTGCGTGCTCGTTGTGATCGGAAGAACCTCTACTTTCATTTGAGACGCGAACTGGCATGTCGATTTTTTTTTGGGACAGCCTAATGAAGGGAAAACAAAATTATAATTGTTATCCGACGTTACATATCGGAAACATACTTCAAACAGGTAACACTTTTACATTTTTCAAACACTTTCACTCACTTCGATGATGATTATTTTATTATTAACCTTCATTAAACTAACTCAACTCAGAAAACCAACTCGACTCGCGTACTCAGTACATTTGACCCAGTGTTTTGATAGGGAATGAAAATATCGAAATAGCCAACTTCTTATCAGAAAGTAACATATTTCCGAGGCACACATCCTTGCGGAATACTGATAAGAATTGTGAAGAAAACTTACCTTAACATTATTTTGTCAGCTGGATCAGCGCGCAGGATTACAGCGGGCTGCCCGGTCGGCGCCGCGCGCGGTCGTTTGGCAGCATTGTTGTTCTTGTTTTTATTATTATTATTACTGTTGCTGTTTACCCGACCCCGACCTGCCCGAATGCCGGCTGTTTGCGTTCGTGGACTAAGTGAACTTTTATTCTGAAGTAAAAGTTTCGCACCTCAACTATCGTGGAGGAAGATCCAAATGAACCCCGGGAAAAGCGGCCTAAACTAAACTTGCAATTACCCCGGCCGTCTATTGAAACTGAAGTCGCAACGTCAAGGTAAGTTGCCCACACGTTAGTTTGGGGATGCAAGTTTCATGGCCCTGCTATACCGTCAATACTCACAGGAAGTTTGCGATTTTCCCAACCATTTTTTTGGTCGAAATTAGTATTTTTGTACTTGTTAGTGTCCGTTACATAACCTCACTGTCAAAAGTACAACGGGTCACACAATCTGTCGTAAAACAGATCAGTGTCGTCCTAACCTATTACGTTGTGTATGTGATTGTTGTTTGACTGGATCCACAGTTCTGGAACGCCACTGGAAGAGAGATTGCGCCAACAAGGGTCACTGCCAAGACAACTCCAGCTCCAACAGCGGTCTCATCAGGCTACTGAGCCTGTGCCACCTACATCTCAACCCGCCATACGCCTGCCCTCCAGAGGTGTCCTCCTCTCCAAAGATGTGAAACTACCAGGTAGCTTTTTAGACACTGTTGATGTTTTAGCGCTCATATTAATTTAGGCTATGGCTTCATGTTAATACCGGTGATTTGAATGTGTAATTTTGTCTTTCAGTATTACGCAAAGAATCTCCTTGTAAACCTGTGGTGCAGCCTACTTGTGCTCTCCGTCCAAGTTCTTCACTACAAACATCTGCCAACCAACAAGGTAATTTATTCAGATTCAGACCAAATTTTACTGTGTTTCTGTTTAATATTGATTCTAAGATTTTAAATTGTGTATTTTTTATTAGATTTATTTGAAGATGTCGGTATTCTTGATATGAATGTTACTTGCCCTACTTTTCGTGCTGTAGTGAAAGAAAGATTTTCAGAAGCAACGGAAAGTCCCATGCAATTTCAACCTAATCTTCTACAAATCCAATCAGAGGGCCCTATTAAATTAATGTCAGTGAGTCAAAATGGTAAGAAATTTACTATCTTAACTCTATAAATTATTACTTTTTTAATATTTTGAAGAATTAGTTACTTTGCTTGTCTTTTATTGTAGGTACTCCCCTGGAATGGGAGCATTTCCTTCCTCATGAGAGAGCTGAAGAGCCTAATGATGATTTCCATGGTATTTCATGTGCTGCTTGTTCAAATGCCACTGACAACGACACCATGGACTTGGAACATTCTGTGACAGAACCCAGCAGCCAACATGAAGGCAAGGACACATCACCTCGTCAACTTTATCTCAACTCACCTCTAACAGTAAAAGACAGCGTTGTTTCAATCTAAATGTATGCTGCTTCTTGCCATTAAAGTGGAGTAGATTTCTGTAAATTATTAGATCTGATTCATTTGCTTTTGCCAAAGCCTAACAATTTGCCTACCAGCAAGCACTTAATGTTTAACATTTTTAGAAATGATAGTGGGGCAATGAATCTGATATATTACTGTAATAACTGTTGGAAAAGGAGGAGTTCTCTTCATGATAAGTGTGATGTGTGCAAAAATAGTGTAGTCAAGTATTTTATTGCTACTTCTATTATTTCTCAACTTCAGAAGTCGTATGCTAGGCCTGGGTTTCTTGAGAAATTGTCATATAGACAGAAGAGAACCAAAGAAAATGTAGACAATATTGAAGATGTGTATGATAGTGCCTTGTACAAAGAATCTGAGAGGACATTTCCCTTTGATGAGTTTCATTTATCTTTGACTTGGTACACAGATGGAGTGGCACTATACAATTGCAGTTCTTACTCCCTTTGGCCTTTCATTTTTGTTATTAACGAATTGCCTCCAGAAGAACGGTACAAGGAAGAGAATCTGATCATAGGGGGTCTCTGGGGGGATTCAGATAAGGCCCCCCAATGTTTTTCTTCTTCCTATTTACAATGAGGTAGTTAAAATGAAGGGGGGATTTCCTGTTCGATTGCCTGGTGGTGTTGAGGACAAAGAAGCTAAAGCTATTGTACTGTTTGGCACATGTGATGTTCCAGCAAAAGCCAGCTTTTTGAACATGAAAGGGCATGCTGGTTATGATTCATGCCCAAAATGTTTTGTTCGTGGGGAAAAGTCAGACAGAACAGGGCAGGTGATGGTTTTCCCACATGAAGAAAATCTTTTGCTAAGAAATGATCAGAATTACCAAGAATGTGTTACTAATGCTGTGGCTTCAAAAAGTGAGGATAGGGGCGTGTATGGGCCCACAATTTTGTCATACATTGTGTATTCAAGTTTCATCAGATCAACAAGCATTGACAGTATGCATGCTCTGAGCCTGGGAATTGTGAAGCAACTTTTGCGGCTTTGGTTCGATTCTAAATATTCAAATGAACCATTTTCAGTTGTTAAGTTTGTTGACAAGGTAAACAGGTTTTTGAAGCAACTGAGTTTACCTCACTTTGTACAACGTCTACCAGAAGATGTTACCAAACTTCATTTTTGGAAAGCATCTCTCTGCAGAAACTTTTTGCTTTACATTGCCTTAATAGTTATGAAACAAGTTGTGAAACCTGAGTATTTTTCTAACTTTTCGACGCGTCCTAAGAACAAAGTCTGATCTGTTTGCGCGCCCGTCAACAAAGTCCGATCTTTTCGCGCGCCCGTCAACAAAGTCCGATCTTTTCGCGCGCCCGTCAACAAAGTCTGATCTGTTTTTGGTCGCGCTCGGGAGGCGGACGTTTGGAGCTTTGTGACAATTCTGTTTCTGTATCTTTGCTTAACATATTCGGTGTCAGCAATTCTTCAATCTCTTAGGATCACATAGCAGTCATTACTTTTTCTATACTGTCAATATTAATGAAGATAGAAATAAACTAAACCAGCGATGCAGAGCGCGGCCAAAAGCAGATCGGACTTTGTTGAGCGTCACACAAACAGATCGGACTTTGTTGACGGGCGTGCGAAAAGATCGGACTTTGTTGACGGGCGCGCAAACAGATCAGACTTTGTTCTTAGGACGCGTCGTTTTGTCTCTTAGTGAATGGTATTGCAATCCTTCATAAATCTAGTATTTATTTGTCTGACATTGCCACAGCTGATCAATATTTATGTCAGTTTTCTAAAGAGTTTGAGAGATTATACGGTGTTCGTCACATGTCATCAAATATTCATCTCCTGAGACACTTGGCTGCTTCTGTTGTGGATTGTGGTAATTTGTGTTTAACAAGCTGTTTTAAATTTGAGGACCTTAATGGTAAATTGGCAGCACTTGTGCATGGAACTACACATGCAACAAAACAAATTTATAGTAATCTTCAGATGTTGTCCGAATTACCATTGTTAGTTGCAGGTATAAAGTGCAAAGATGCCAAAAACTATTGTATGAAACTTGTAAACCGGAAGTATCTTACTCTAAGTGAGAAGATATCTGACAATGTGCATGTTGTTTAATTTGATGCTGTCACTAAACATTATCAGGGATCACTAAACTTACTGAGAGTGAGCTTGGGTCCTGTCAGATTCGCACATTTTCTAGAATTTTTAAACAAGGAACACTGTTCGTAAGTTCCTCCTATAAACAAGGGTCTAGAGTATCGTCGTATTGTAAATACCAGTGTGCTAATGGCAATTCTCATGGGAAAATGTTGTGTTTTGTTAAAGCTTTTACGGATCCACCTTGCTACTTTGCTTACATATCTACATCAGATCATGTTCCAGTTGAAAATCTCGAACGCTATGTTATATACTGCTCAGCTAATGAAAAGACAGACCTCATCTCTATCGCGCACATACTGTCATTGTCGTGATGTCTCACGGTCGACAGTGTATCTTACTTGGTTGACCCTTTGAATAAATTTGAGATGGAGTAAACACTTGGTGGATTTTCATTACCCTGACCCCTGCACCCGTGTGCTCTACGCGTACGAACGGTTTAAACCCAATGAGCGACTTTACCAGTAAAGTGGAGCAGGCGGCGCGAGGCCCCGCCCGGGCGAGCGCCGGCGGAGGGCCCGGGTAGGCAACCCGCCGCGCGGCTCGGTGCGGAGCGCCGTGGCGGTAGGAAACACAGCGCGCGTCGCCGCTCGGGGTGCGGCCCCGGGCCTTGGACGAATGAGGAGAAGGACTGCGAACTGCGCGCCGCGGCCGGGCGAAAAAGCTTACCCCCACTTGGCCGGGCCCGCCTAGCGCGCCGTTGCCTACCTCCCAGGAGGGAGGTTGCTCGGCGCGACCGCTATGCACGGGGCCTTATGGGCGCGCGGCGGCGCGCGGCGCTTCTCGCGGCCCTAGCTCCCAAACCATAAAAGATAGATGGTGGTTGTAAGCGAGCCGATTGTAGTTCAAGGTTCAAGCTAATAGACAAACTATCCAAAATGTAACGAATAGCAGAGAAGAAACATAACCTCTCTGCCTCAAGTTACTTCTAACAAATTTGTGACAATTCGCTGAAACGCGCCAATATGGAAAGGGGCAAATGTAAAGGGCCGGAACATATCAGACCGTAGTCACTCACCTTAAGCTGAGAGACATCCGTATGGATATTTCTGTATCAGCCTCTTAGAGATTGGCATTTTAGACGTCGGTCCATGGGCCAGGCCAAGCCAGGCGCCAGGTCCAGGCCAGGCGCCAGGTCCAGGCCAAGCCAGACCAAAGCCACTCAGCGTTTACGCTTGCTAGTTGAAAAAAAAAATCTAGCAATTTTCGACACACGCTAGCACTTCAATCTCATCTCTGTATCTTCAAAACAACGCCGTGCAGCCGTGCCGCCCGTGCCATGCCATGGCCGCCGCGGCCGCCACCACCATGGGTGCCTGTTGTGGATTAGCCGGAAACTCTGCCTTCTGCTCCGCTCCGTACACCACTGCCACCTAGAACTACCTAAAAAGCCGTAACTTTCTTCTTCTAAACTAAAACACGCCCACATCAACAAACGATATATGAGCAAACCATAGAAGCTACAATCAAAAAGATAATATCTATAGCAAGGTCAACAAATGTAACCATAGCAAATGTTCCTATAAGAACTGATAAGCCACAACTCAAAAAAGATACAGCCAAGTACAATAGGTACCTTACAAAGATAGTAAATAAGGAAGAAAACTATCAGGATGAACTGGAATGGACAAGTCAGAATACTTGACATACACAAGAACATCAAGAAGGAACACCTGGCTAAAGATGGTCTTCACCTAAACATAGAAGGAACTAAAGAAACACTTAGACTGCTGCTCGAATGACATAAAACCAAAGAAGAAGCAGAACATATACAGACAAATAAGAACTACCTCAAAATCGTACACGCAAACGTAAGGTCAGCCATCAATAAAAGAAATCAAATCCAACAACTTATAGAAGAATCTCAACCAGAGATACTAATACTGTCCGAGACTTTCAAGTATGCCGAAGAAGCCTAAAAGCTGCGATATGGGGAAATCCGACATATTAGTAACTTCAGTAGAGAAAAAAATACCAACAGAGGAAGAGGTGTCATACTCATGGCTACCCCTAAGAAGGGCACCAAAATAGAAGTATTCGACCTATCCAAATTCGCCAAACAAAATATACTTGAAGTATGCGGATGCACAGTGGACAGTGGTAACAATACAGAGAAGAAGCAAATAATAATAGCTACATATAGAGCACCTCCCATTTCAACAGTTGGAGAATTCCTCACCGTACTTAACGATATGCTTCAGGAAATATACAAACCAAACACAACAATCACAGTGGTTGGAGATTTTAATATTGATGCCATGAGCAAAAGTAAGGCCTCAGTCGAATTGAAAGAGATATTGTCAAACTACAAGATAAAGCTACTGCTAAAAGATGCCACTAGAGTAACTGATAAAACCTCAACTTGCATTGACAATATCGCTACAAATATAAATGAGAGGACAAAAGATGTAGAAAAAGTAGCAGAAATAATCAAAACTAATTTCTCAGACCATTATGCAATATCATCTCTAATGAAGAGAATGTCATTTCGGGCTGGCCATGAGAAAAACAAATACAAATATATGAGAAATGTCAGCAACGACAATATACAGCCGCTCAGAAATAGATTAGCCTACGTAGCAACTGAAACCTTAAAGGTACTTGAAAGTGTAGGAAGTAATAGGGTAGCCTTGATTGTTACTGACAATGCTTCAGTTATGAAAACTGCATGGGATCTAATTAAAAGAGGACATCCTCATATTTTAACAGCTGGTTGTGTGGCCCGTGGTAAGGATTTATCGTGTGAGGACATTGGAAAATTACTCGCTTTGCAAATGTACGTAAAAAAGCTAAGTTAGTTATAAAAATTAGATCCAAGAGAGTAACAAAGGTTGTGTTTGTAGATATACAAAAGAAAAACTATGGTGTTAACTACAAGTCTCTATGTTTATCTAGTAAAACTAGATTCTATGGTGATGTAGATATGTATGACAGTATTCTAGTCAACAAGCAAGCTGGTGCTACTATTTTGCCAGAAACTAAGAGAATTATTTTACATGATAATTTTTGGAAAGACTTGGAGGCTCTGACTGAACTGTTGCGTCCCACTGCTAGAGGTATTAATGTGTTGGAAGGTGATGAAGAACGAATGTCTTTGGTGCCTATAGTTTTCATGGACATTATAAACAATGTGATTACTAGACTTGAAGAGAGTCACTTTTCTAGAAGTGTCTGTCAAACTGTTAAGGCTAAGTTACATGCCAAAATTGATTTTTGTGTCACTGATGTTCACAAAGAAGCATATTTACTGGACTCTAGGTTTAGGGGGGCTGGTTTAAATGACACTGAAATATTAGATTGTATTACTTTGATACTCAAATTATGTAAACATTTTTTCCAGAAAAGGATGTAGATGAAGTTAAGGCAAAAATTTTAGACTTTAAAAGTAAAATAGGATTTTTCAGCAGGGGTTCCCTGTGGGAACTGGCTGAAAATGCAAGTCCTCTACAACTGTGAACAGCACTCTGTGCTTCACAGCCAGCGTCCTCTGTGGCCCAAATTTTGATTCAATTGCATCCTATATCTGTGGCATTCCATAGAAGTGACGTAAGTCACAAAATATTTTTTTTCAGGAAATGAATAAAACGATTCCTATAATCTGGTTGCCCTACTAATGTATATGAGAGGTGAATAAACCCTTTTTAGCATGTCACAAATACATCCCAAAAATTATTTTTGTTGTACCATAATTATTTGAGCTGATAGGTGACTTAC